GCCTTTATAAGAAAGTACAAGGGTTTAAAGGCAATAATGTCACTCTTTCAAGTAGCACACATGTGTTTTAAAAGGGAACTCAAGAAGGAGGGAACAAATTGTATGACAAAGTAGACTTTGCTTCCACGTTTGAACTCCACTTTCACATTCGAATGCCACATTGAAATCATTCCAAATCTCCAGGAGGCTGCTAGGGAAATGACACGAGGCTAGTTACTGTGGATGACAAAGCTACATTAGCAACCATGTTCGAACTCCAACAACATTTGAACACACTTCAAAGAAGAAATGCTTTGAAGTTTGAACGCCAAGTACCTTTCAAACTTAAATCCCAAATAGAATGTAGGCAGTTTAGAATTTCACCCAAATTTTGTGGCATAGGCTTGGACTTTAAGCACCTAGGTCTGTCATTTATCTCCCTCCTTTGTCTATAAATACCATCCCTTGGAACTTGTTGAAATATATATTTGGAAGTGGAAAAACCCTCCAAAAGTAACTAATTTTCTTCTACTTTTATCATTAGTTTCATTAGCTTCCATTGTAAAACCTCTTTCTTCACTTAGAGGATTGAACCTCTCTCTCCTTTCTAGCTTCCTTATAGCTTTGAAGGGTGGGTAGTGTTTCACTCATTCTTTGTCAGAGATAAGCTTATTGTTTTGGTAAACGTTAACTTTTAATTAAAAGTTCCTCTACTTGGAGGGATGAAAATCACTAACTTTTTTAGCTTTCTCAAAGCCATGAAGAGTGAATAGTTTCTCATTCACTCTTTAGTAAGAGGTGATGTACATGTATATTATTGTTCAAAAGTTATATTTGTGCATTTCATTTATGTTTAATTATTTATCTTTCCATTGCTTATTGAATGATTGAATTCATCTAACAAAACTAAAGTACTTTGTACAATCATGAATCTCTTATAGACACGTTAACTCTTGACATAGGAGAATTCATTGGTTCTTTGTAAGTACACAACCTAGGTCTTCATGACAACATTTCAATCTTCATTGTCATTATGCATTAACTAAGAATGGAGTAATTTAACAGTTGCTGGATGATTTGTAGGATTGCTTGCTTGTCTGTAGATGGGTTAAGTCCCAGCACTAAAAATTCTTGCAAATCTCTACAAGACATCGATGTCATGCTCTTAATTCACACAGTCTATCTTTATCTTCCAATTAACTTTCTATTGACATATGAGTTAATTGAGTAGTTTACAAAGCATAAATATAACAACTAGATGAATAACTACATGTCCAGATCCTCAAGCTAAAGAGTGACTATTTCATTTAAGAGAATCATAAATTTTGTCTAGAAAATTCTATAATCATCATAACTTCAAATCTCAAGGGTTCTAGTTACTTTGGTTTCTATCACTTTTAACTTCAAAACACCAACATTAGTTCCCTGTGGATTTGACTCCGGACTTAACTAGATTATAAATATAACTTGAGCACCTGCACTTGGGTGTACACATTTTGGATCAAGTCAGTCCACCAGTGCTTATCCTGTACCTAAAATAGTGTTCTCATAAAGGGTGAGTCACGCTCAATAGGGTATATCCTAAAGAGGCTACTCCTAATCTAGATGCATATCAAATTTTCACATACTATTCAACAATCAATTAAACATCCATTCAAGAATATGCAATTCATAAATGAATTTCACAATGTTATATCATGTCATGAGATGATACTCACACATACAATGCAACCTGAGCCCTTCACTGGCTCTCATAACATGTGCAATGTCATGCGTATGTATTCAGGTAATCCAAGCCCCTCCCATTCATATTGTACATCCAATGACTATTTTACAAAATCTCGGGTCTGTCTTGGAATGGGTATTTATGGACTTCCATCAACGGGTATCCAATTAACACGACATATATAGACTTTCACTAACGGCTCGGCGTACGCTAATACACTTTATAGACTTAATACCAACGGAGTGCGTATCCAAAATTATTGGGTCTTGCACCTGAAGAAAAATCTAGCATTTCTTGCTAACCTCGACCCTTGTTTTCAATGCAACTCGTGCGACTCATTCGAACCCAGGTCTAATTTTCCTAAGGCCACACGTATTAACCCATCAGGGATGCTGTTTGATCAAATCATGCACACACACCCACACTCATGTCACTTGCCCACGAATGTGATGTTTCTCGTACATATGCAATGTAATGTATCATTGCAACTGCCAAAGCATGGTCAGCATATCATGAGCATATTATGAACATATTTAATGTCTTATCAACATTTCCCAACTGGCAATTATATCATAAGCATATAATCATAATTTACAATATCACCAAGCATGATATCTCATTCTCATTCAAATAGCATACTTAATCAACATAGGCATTTTATCCAACACCATCAAGGCATAAATGTAAACACATAGCATGCGTCATTTATCACATATCTCAAGAAATTACAAACAAGCAATTTCTACAAATCCAAATAATGCAAAATTGGTTAAACATGTTTTTATACTCATTTCCATACTTTAGTTACAAAAGGAGTATACTTAAACTAGCGATTTTATCTCTAATCATGCTACCCATTCCATATACAAACCTTAGGTTGAAAATAAACCAAGTTAGGAAAAGAATTATACCTCTTGAAGTGTAGTGTCACATAGGAGGAGTCCCGAATCTCCCAAATCAAGCTTCAAATTCTTCATCCGAAAAATTTCAATCTTGAGACTTCGGAGAAACCTACGATCTTTAGTACATACTTGTAGAATCCTACTTTTTGTTTTTCACTTGAAGCAATCCGAAGGACGAATAGTTGTAGATCGCAAGGAGAAAGATTCGAGAACCCTTGTTTCCGTCCCTTTTTTCCCTCTCTCTCTATCTCTCTCTCTCTTTATATATATATATATATCCGGAAATGGCCAAGGTAAATGGGAAGAAATCTGACTTTTCTCCCCTATTTATACCCTCTAATACTTGATCCATATTAAGTCACACGTCCCGTCATTTTATAATCCAATTTTATTGTGAATCAATTAAATCTCATTCCATGTTAAGTTCGATATATTTTATTCGAACTAACTTAAAATTATTTTTCATATTTCGCAATTAAAACTGATCGCATTGTAAACTGCAAAAAAAAATTCGACTATCTAGAAATTTCACAAAAATTGACTGAGTAACTAGATTTCCCGAGAAGAATCCAATGGTGAGGTTCATTTCATCATTTGAGTTTAAGAAAAATTTGGGTTTCCAACCTGTATCGTAATGATTAATTACCATTTTATCCTTTCACAATTTTTTTTTAATTTTCCAAGGTTTTACAGAATCTTGTGCTGATAACGCATTGTAAAACTAAAGAAATATAAAGAATAGAGTTGCAAAAAGACAAGAGAATATAGAAACACTAGAGAATAGAGCTTTTCAATTTGTGTATTACTCAATGTAGCTAATCCTCCTTCTATAAGCCCTCAAACATAATGATTATCATATACAATATTGAAGTTGGTATATCAATGGGTAGGGGTTATAGACCAATGCACTAATTCCTATTTACTTGACGTACTAATTGGTGGGTTTGGGTCATCCACTTTATCACAAAGTAATTACAATATTTTTGCAACTCATACTTTTATGCAATCAACAATAAACACAAAAAAATGAATTTAAAATAATGAAAATATAAATGTAAATTGAAACGATATTTTCATGCAATCCACAATTAACTCAAAAATTAATTTAAAATAATGATAAGAACACTAGTAAAAATTTAAATTATAGTAAATTAGGCTAATGTCCCTTATTTGGTGTGTAAATTAGGTTTTGTCCTAACAAATTTCTTGTATATAAAAAGGTTCTATTGTTTTTAAAAACTTTGAATTCAGTCCCTATGTTGGTGGGGTTGAGCATTATTGTATATTTATTACCCATTTTTTCCTCAGCACATGATATCAGCCTAATTTGAGAGATACATGAATATTTGTGTTTATGGAGAAGATTAGTGTACCTGTCTGACGATTACTGCATATCTATTGTGTACCTGTTTGACGATTAGCATACATGTATGATGATTTCTGTTTAAGGAGAAGATTAGTGTACTTGTCTGACATTACTGCGTACATGTTGTGTACCTGTCTAGCAATTTGTGTTTATGAAAAAGAAATTACATTATGATGACGCAGCTTTCTGGAATAAATGTTTAAATTAGATGATGACATTATCATTATTTTTTATAATTTTCAAAGGCGTTAGTTATAACGATTAGTATACCTGTCTAATGATTTGTGTTTATGGAGAAGATTAGTGTATCTGTCCGACGATTAGTATACTTGTTTGACGATTTGTGTTTATAGAGAAGAAGATATATTATGATAACGTAACTTTCTAGAATAGGTGTTTAAATTAGGTGATAACATTGTCGTTATTTTTTGTAATTTTAAAGGGCGTTAATTATGTCCATTGCTTTGACTTTTTAACAGGGACCTAAACCAAAAAAAAATTGATGAGTAAGTTTGTTTTTTGAATCCTATTAGGCCCAGGAACCGGCTTCTAAAAAAGTTCTCTAAATTAACCATCTCATGATCATGACTTTTTGGGACATAGAACCTTCAATAGCCGCGCTCAGAAGGTGCATAATGCATACACATAATTGAAATTGTATTAATGGAAAGCAAACAGCCAATGAGCCAATAAGCCAATGGGCCAAAGCGCTTGAGAAGTAAGAAGACACAGCACATTCAACCTTTAGGTACATTGTACAGAACAACATACTGGTAAATTAATGAGAAAATCATCACAGCACAACAATACTCGTATTTTGGATTGAATTGACAAACTTAATGTGCTGATGGAATTTGTTATTATCAGTAGATGAACAATTAATCTCATGTATATTAAGATCCACTACTAATTCAAAGGGTATAACAGATCCCTTTAGCATTTTTGTTGAGTAAATTCGCACATAACACCACGCATGCACTTTGAATCCGAATTGAAAGTCAGATAAGGAATCTAAATGTTTAAATATCTCAATTTACATCAGATGACGAAGCATTCAAATACTTGAACATCAAGTATGCCATGAACTCAGATAAGAATTCTCCCACTGGGCAAAGTCACAACAGATTAGCATACCAAGTATTTCGTATCAATACTCATTCGGTCATAACTCTAATTACATGTTCCTTCCAACACTCTACAAACATTGACCAGGATATGAGGCATCACACAAGCTAAGAAAAAAAACGCATTGCTACATTTTTACAATTTCTACATTAGTATGCAATATTAAGAAAATCTCTCCCCTTTTGGCTCTTCTTTTGCTGAATGCTCATGAAGCGAAACTCTCTTGATTCTTAGTGGACAGCCGCTTGAGAAACTCATAGGTAGTGATCATGGTTGTTGCAGACATAGACATTGAAACCCACCTTGGACCCAACCCTCTATAACAAGCACCCAATCCACCTTCCTTCACCAAATTCCTCACGGTCTGAAGAAACGTTGGTGGCCTGCGCCCATTTCCCTCTCCATCCAAAACTTGTAATCTTGTTTTAATCGTGTCGAGCGGCATTGTAACCAATGCAGCAACCCCACTTGCAATGGCCGCACTCAGCCCCTGCACAGCCACCACCGCCTTCCCATTCGGCCTAAAACTACCCTCATCATCCTTCTTACAACAATAGCAACCAACACCACCCCAAATGGCTCTATGAGCTATAGAGTAAGACGCCCACCAGACAGCATTTGAAGGAGCATAAGTCAATATCGAAATCCCAAATCCCCTGTAGAGTCCTCTCACACCATCCCTGTATATAATCTTCCTAAACGCATCAATTCCACCGTTATACCTTATCAAATTATTTGCAGTTCCCCTGGAATTGTTGCCTCCTTGTACCATCAACCTCTGGCTGACGACATCGATTGGAGTCCAGATCAATTGTGCAGCCATGGCAGCACTCAACCCTGCAGCAGCATTAGCAATAGCTGAAGCAGAAACCTCAGAAAACCCCAATTTAACAGTGGCACTGCCCACATTACTCTTGGTCATCTCGAGTGCTCCCATGTAAAGAGCTCGAGCAGGGATGGTTCCCATCAATGAAGTTCCAAAACCTCTATAAAACCCTCTCAAACCTTCATGCTTCAATATAGAAACTGCCATTCTCAAGCAGGGACATCCACTGGCCGAAACTTGCTGCCTTGTTTTTAACACAACAATTGGATACAGAGTGGCGGAAACACCAGAAAAAAGGGCCGCGCCGAGGAGGAAGAACTTAGATTTGTCCAGCATCTCCCAACCTATATCTGCCGGAAGATGGATTTCTGAGGCCGAATCATCCTCCGCCGCACTCAAACTCATTTTTGCCACTTTTGATTCTTCTAATTAAGCTAAATATTTCTACTCCCTGCTACGAAATATCGTTGTATATACAAACTTACTCAAAAAAAGAAGAAGAGGAAAGACATTTTACGATGATTCTACCTAAATTCAAGACGATGTTAGGAAAAGATCCACCTTAAAAAGTAGTAGAAAACAGATAGATAAAACAAACCCTGATCCTAATTTTCGGAATTTGGAAATGGGTCGAATTGCAGCTTAGAATTTTTTCCTTTTGCTCAAACAGATTTCGGAGCGAACGTGGGTTACCATGAACAGATCAAGCATTTCTCGTTAAGGTGGTTTTCTCTACAATTCTGACCAGAAATTCGACTGCGATCATGGAGATATTATCGGAAGGAGATCTGATGTTGGTGGAGATTGATTAGAAATAGAAAGTGATGGTGAATCTAGTGAATTATGGGCTGTGCTCAGGCAGCCAGAAAGAGAGAGAAACAGTGCGCTTTCACTGAAATTGAGAAAGAGAGGTGGCGGAACTCAATTATAGTGAGGGTTTTTTTAGGATCAAGTGGGGTGAACACGTGTCGGTTTCCATTTCCAGAACTGTTCGATACCTGGGTCGTGATTCGACCGGCTACAGGACTTGGATGCTACGGTTACCACTGATTTGGTTGATAACTATGGGTGATAATTAATTTAGGTATTTTTGATCAGTGGGCTCATCACTTCTTATGGCCAACAAGATCTAATAATCTTTCCTAAAGAAAGAAAAATCCCGCATTATATATTTATTTATTTTATAAATACTACATTATAAAAGTTCACTTAGTTCTCATTTTATTATATTTTTATGATCAATAACCATTAATTAATTAATTAATTAAAAGTTTATAGTCAAAAAATTATTTTTTAATATAATATCAAAAACAATTCCTAATAGAGATGTCTGGCCAGCCACATGATCAATCTGACTCATCTCTTCAATTACGATGGCATGTAATCATGAGATTTGAATCCTCATAATTTTGAATATTGAGAGTTTTATCTTGCTTGATTACTCATTAGATTTATTAATAAATTAGTAATAATTTTGTGTCTGAAATTATTATATAATATTAAAAATTAAATTAATCTTGTAATATTTGTATTTTAAATAAAATTTAGTTTTTTAAAATAAAAAGAGGGTACATGTGGATTAATGAGATTATTTGACATTAGAAAACGTTAATTGAGTTGTCTAACATTGAGGGTCGTGCAAAAAAATTGACGTTTTTGGCATGAATTTTATATTATTGGATCAAAGTAGATGATGATTGGATCAATATTGACCATCGTTGTGTTTTTATAAGATAAACTAGTTATTACCCGTGTCTGAAGGCACTATACAATAAACAATTTTTTTTAAACAATTGTCCAAATTAAAAAAAAATAGCCTAAAAATATTCATTCAAATTCATTTTTTAAAATGACTCAAAATATATTGTCGATTATATCATCCATATTAATGAAACTGTCATAAAAATATGTAAAAACTCTCCAAAATAACACCATATGTACAAATGCCTATGAAAAAAAATATTAATATAATCCATTAAAATTTAAAATCTTTAAGTAATAAATAAAATAAAATAAAATCTTACTCTTTTATAAGACTCGTGAATTATCATCTCTACTATCATTTCATCCAATAACACAACATAATTATCAACTCAACTACCATATTTCCAATCCAACCTATCTCCATGTAATAAATACCTCAAGAAAAAAAAATACTAACAGAATACAATTAAATTCACAATCTTTAAACGGTAAATAAAATCAACCAAATTTTGCTCATTTATAAACTCATGAATTTATTATCACTATCACCATTCAATCCCAAATGACACAATATAATTATAAATTTAATCACTAAATGTTCAATCCTTCACAGGTAAATATACACAAAAATACACTCACACACATTTCTTTTTTGGTTACCAACAAAGCCTTATAACCAATTATTGCTTTTAATAGAAATACAATAATTTAAGTTTTTAAGGTAAAATAATAATATATTAATGTTTCATTAAAAAATAGGATAAAAAACTAAAAATTATGGATATTCCCTGAGTTTTGGAAATATTACACGAACACCTCTTGATATTTTTATAAATAACATCGAGACCCCTAAGGTTTGTTATTCATTGTACGGAGATCCCCTATGTCACCCTTTAGTCAATGTTGCAAACAAAAATTGATAATTTTATCCTAAAAAAATTTATTATTTTTACAATTGTCCTTCTCCAAATTTAGTACCAAAAAAATTAAAAATTTAATAAAATAAAATAAAATTTGATTTAGTACTCAAAAAATTGATATAATTTAGTAATCCAAAAAATTGATTAAATAAATTTTAATATTAATTTGATATTACTTCGATAAAGTTGAATATAAATTAGAGAAAATTAAGTGTCAATTTTTGATAAAAATATATATTAATTTACAATCTAAGGTTTATTTTATGTTAAATATTATTTGGTGTTTATATTTAATGTGCTATTTTTTATTTACATTCAGTGTTATTTACAAATTAAGAAGCAAGTGATAAAATACATACGGTCAGATATATAAAAATTTTGAATTAGTTTCAAGAAATAAATAATTGGATGACATGTAGTTTCATATGTTTTATGGAGTAAATAATAGCAAAAACAACATGAGGAAAAAAAAGATAATAGTATGAGAGAGAGTGTAACATAGATAGATAGATAAAGAGAATTATATGAGAGTTGTAAAAATAATGAAAGTCTAATTAGGACTATTAAATCAAAATAATATGAGCCGTGAAAAGTTAAAGACAAATAATGTAGTTACTTTATTATATAGATATAGAGAGAGAGCTGAGATGAGATAGTGTGTTTAAAATGTCTAAGAGATGAGAGATAGGAGTACTAGAGTTAAGTTCAATTATAACCGTTAGTTCAGTATTTATAAGATAATTTGAACTGTTATTTATGTTGGGATTACATTGTCCGTTGATATGTTTATGTTTTATCTCAAAACGATTTAGACCTCTATTTGTGTTTGGATTCAAACTCAGCTCTACTTTATTTTATAGATTTATATAAATTTTGCTGATACTTTCGGATTAGGAAAAGTTTGGTTGCACCACCAGGAAAGTTATGACAAGAGTCACCCGTTCAAAAAGTTACTCTTGAAAAGACGTTGACTTCCAGAGTAGTTGGAGAAAGCTGATAGCTTTACTTATCCTAGTAATCATCTCTAACCTACCTGACTGAGTCATGGATTCAAATCAAAAGATAAGGTTATTCATTAATTGAAAATCAAAAAACCGCCTAAGCTAAATCAGTAATCATTATTTGAAGGGAAAGGAGCTGAGACTCCTCATTCTAGAGGACTCTCAACCTCCTCATCAGTGCAAGTGGAATTCAAAACATTCCTCAAGTAAAAGGAGTCTTGCCCCCCCTCTACAATATGATCAGGTAGTCCAGACTCCTCAAATAGAAGGAGTCTAATCTCTCCACAGCAAAATCTCATCCACTATCTAATTCTCAAACTATAAAAATGAAGGGAAATATGAAAGGTATACAATCATGTTTCTAAATACTACCTTTCAGTTTTCACCAGTTACCGATTTAAAGTATCGAAGAGTTGACTCCCAAAGCTCTCCCTTCTAGTCTTCGACTTCTTTTCAAGTTTATTGGCACCTCAAAAACCTTAGTTGGAGCCTTGGAGAGTAGATTCAAACCACCGCAAAGCTAATGTAAAGGTTAACAGAGTCCAACCTAGTTTACATGGAGGTTTAGGCAAATTTCGTACCAACAATTTGGCGCTGTCTGAGAAACGATAGTAATTTCCCTTTGAATCTCACAATCACCAAAGAAAAGCAACCTTTAATGGCAACTACATGATCGATGTATGTAGTTAGAGATAATGACCAAGCAGACTAGCACGAGACACCCAAAGAAGACAAACCATGATCAAGAGCCCCCTCGAGCCAACATGCAACAAGAAACTCTTAGGGTGCTCAATCTAGAAATAAAGTGTGATAGAATGAACCAGACCATTGAGGGATTGGCCCAACAAATACTGCATATGTTTCCTGGCCAACCCCCTTTGTAGGTCCCTTATTCGGGAGAAACTCAATGTGACCAAACATGCAATGCAAGAGATGCGCACAACCATCAGCATGTTGTACGAAAGAGTCTTGATAGGCAATGACATCCCAACTAATATAGGCTGCATTTAAAATTTGTTAGGTAACAAGATTTTGAAAATGTAAAATTATATGTACTTAACAATACTACCCTCAACCTATCATTTACATCTATTTTTTTTTATGGGGATGGGGATGGGGAAGGGGGAGGGGTGGAGGGGGGAGGAGATTTGAACCCTTGACCTTAAGAAGACAAAATCTTCACAAGGTAAGGAATATTATTAGACCAAATTCCCATTGGTTATCATTTACATCTAATGGCCTACAATTTAAAGGAAATATGATTTTATAAATAACTATGACAAACAATGTCCATTTGCAATTATTATTGTATATGATTTTTAATTAGTGAAATTCCATTCAGTGTAGGTTGATAAAAGAATTTACGTATCTTCGGGATAAAAAAAATTGACGTAGCAACTAGAAAAGATTATTCATTGAACAGTGTGCATTGTATTTCTCATCTTCCTTTGTGTGATTAACCAGAAAATGATCGACCCTAATGTAACGACTTGGTGTTTGGTGATTGAGAATTTGGGTCATGGTGTTTCAATTTGGTATCAAAGCATCAAGTTATTGATTCTATAGACTGTCCTAGGTTTAATTACTTAGGATGATGACACATGGGTAGTAGAGGAAATTGATTTGTGATGAACATAAATTTATCGTATTAAAGATTTTATATGTGGTGAATTATCTATTTTTTTGTGGAACAACTTTGCTTTTGGTTGTAAATGACATGAATTATTGTGATTGGGGTTACACCAATACAATTAGTATTTTATCTAAGATGCGTAGCGGAAGCATAGTCGAACATTCGATTCGAAATCTAGTGAACGTGATAAAAGGATGTGTATTTATGATGACGAATAATGAGAATACATAAGAGTGTTGAGGTAAGTATAAATTTTGAATAGGTGTTCTGATTTTGGTATGTACACTTATGCATTGAGTATGGTGTAAGAGTCAAATTTCCAGAACAAAATTTCTATCAAGGTGGGTACACTATAACAACCTGGTGTTCAGTTATTGAGAATTTGGGTCGGGGTTTTACACCTCACCCTACTAATATTGTGTCGATTTTCAATTGTATTTACGAGCCACGTAAAAAATTGTCATCCTTTACACCATTGTTAAAAATCCATTAAGTTTCCCATTCAAAGAAAAAAAAATATAATTAAGTTTAACTGAAAAAAAGGAAGAAGATAAGAGGAGTAGATTACTTTCTCTACCAAAACGCAATGCAATGACAATATCATTTTTTGTTCAAAATGAATTTACAT